GGCGGCGAATGCTGCGAGTGCCATGTCGCGGCTGGGTAGATTGCGATGCCAGACGTATCGAGTGGCATCGTCGATGAAGGTGATGGTGTAGTTGTAGGTGACTTGTCCAGGTTCGCGATTGTAGAGGATGTCGCTGTAGACCTTTTCGAGTGGTGCGTACGCTGGAGCGCTCGGGTTGTGATGTGGAGCGAACGGTCGATGAGGTAAGTCAGCTTCGGGGCATATAAGGCAAGTCCCTCGTGCCTTCTGGAGTTCTCTGCCATCGGGTAGAAGTAGGGAGTCTTTGTCAAGAACTCCTGCTCTTATCATGTTATTTAAAACCGTGTTGCTTGGATGTCCTGTGCGTGCGTGCCAGATCTCTTCAGAGGCGCGGTGTCCGGGTGAACGTTGGTATGCGTCGGAGTTGGAGTAAAAATTGGCGACGAAGTTGGCGCTTCGGTGGACTTCACGTTGAGTCGGATTCAGCTGTTGCGCGGGTGTTGGTGGTGCTTCGTCGACTGTGACTGGTGTCGTTGTTCCTGCTGCTGCTGATGTTGTCTCTGCTGCTGCCGATGTTGTTGCTGCTGCCGATGTTGTTGCTGCTGGCGATGTTGTCTCTGCTTCTGGTGTTTGTTGAATCGTTGCTAACGCTCGTGTTCGTTCTGCTTCAGGGATAGTGTGGGAGTACCAGAAACCTCCCGGGCTGAAGTCGGGGTCGAGATCCGGAGGGTGTGTCAGGTCGGTAAAGTTCACGATGGCGTCGCTGTCTGCAGTGCCCAGGTCAGGAACGAAGTCGAGGACGAAGACATTGTTCTTCAATACTGCTTTCCCGATGTAGAGACCGCCTCTCCCGTGGTATAGCTTGAACTCTTGGGTGGTGCTATCGGCTTCCAGGTGAATCCCCTTCGCCATCAACTGGCTAACACTCAGTAAGTTGTAACCGAGTCCTTCAGCGATGAGTACCTTTGACATGTGCAGTATGACATTTGTTTCTCTTGACTGAAGCTGTACCACTCCTTGTCGTCGTGTGCGCAGGTTTTGATTGTTGGCGACCGTGATGACAACTTCTCGTTGGAGTCGGTGTTCGCGTTGTACGAAGCGTCCGGACGAGCACATGTGTTGCCCGCAGCAACTATCCAAGAACCAAGTGTCTTGGCCGGACGGTTCACTTTGAGCGATGGCGGCGTAAGTCGGATTTGGGTGGAGTGATTCGCGGCGGGGCGTCCTGTTGTCGAGCTCCTCTTCTGGTGAGTAGTGGGGTGGTGACTCTGTTATGCAAGAATCGTTTATCTTGACCATGCAGTTGACTATGTTTCTTGCTCCTTGTGCAGGTTGTCCAGTTGAAGTCGTTGAAGCTTGAATCGTGGTTGTCGGACTTGCTTGTGTCGAAGCAACTTGGGAGCTTGAAGGCCGCAGTTGTCGCTGTGGTGTTGTCTGACGGGACGGGCAATGCGTGCGTGGATGTCCTGATGTTTTGCAGATGTGACAAAACGGAGGTACTAGCTTCGGCTGCTGCTGTCGGTTGTTGTAGTTGTTGTGTCGTCGCTGAGTATGGAAAGCGAACTCCGGTGCTAATGCCTTTTTCTTGTGCCTTTCTTCTTGCAGGTCCATGTCCTGCTGCTCGGCGTGGATTTCGGCGCAAAGTGCTGCTTCAGAGATTCTTCCGTGGGCTCGAAGAATTGCTTTGGTGGCGCGCCACTGAGGACCGAGGCCACCGATGATGACTGTCACGAAGGCGTCTTCAGAGATTGATCCTCCGCATCGAAGAAGCTTGTCGCGCAATTCGCGACATCGGCTGATATACGCCAATCCCTTTTCTCCTGGTTTCATTTCAACTGTTGTCAATTGCGCCATTAACCTGCTCTGGTTTACACTGTCTGTTGCTTGATACAGGTTCTTTAGATGGCCGTACGCGAGTTCCGCCGAGTTGCCGAAGTTCCGGTAAGAGCGAATGTTCTGCTGCTGAGTTGGTGTGATGTTTCTCAGTAGAATAGTATACGCCATCATCGATTGATACGTATACTGCTGCTTCTCATACTGTGTGCCGTTTGCTAGATACTGCAGGGATCCGTCGAAGAAGCCGAGTATCTGCGCGCCCTCCATCATCAGCTCGAATTCAAAGGACCAGGTGAAGAAGTCCTTTCCGTCGAAGGGTCTTGATGTTTGCAGTTTCAGGACATGCGCGAATTGTGACTGAACTTGTAAAGCGTCCATTGGTTTGTCTTGCGCAGGTGAAGGTTGAGGCAGGAAGCTGATCGACCCGCGCTCGTACGGGGCAAAGGTGGGTTGCTGCTGTTGATTCCCTCGCGCATATGACGATCCGTCAAGGCTCATGGGTGTCGCTCCGTTGTTGCTGTTGTGTGTCTGTGCAGGTCCCGACTGCTGGTGTTGCTCGTAGAAGGACATGAAGGAGAAAAATTTCTCCATCATGCTCTGGTCGAAGTCAGAAGGATGGTTCGTGGGGGTCTCGGTTGACGTTCCCCTTGGTCTTGCTGCCGTGCCTTCCTCTGTCTGCAGGCCAGAGGCTGGCGGTGGAGTAGGAGTAGTGCCCGAGGAGCCATTAGGGGAGCTCCTTTCCTTGTTTGTTGCCATGTCTTGTAATGATCAAAAAGTTAGAGTTTTCCCCTGTCAGCTCTCATACCATGTTGGGCTGAGAAAGCCCTTAAGGATCTTTGCAGAGGATAACTCTGGGTAGGATATTTGTAATAGCGGAAGCGTTTTAATGAAGTTTGTGAACCGACCTTGCACTAGTGTGTGAGAGCAAAGTGGATTAAATTAAACAAGCAAATACAAGGTTTTATATAAGAGTACAGGGAATACGAATGGATAGATAACTGTATTTGCTGTTGCGATTTGATACAGTGCGACTCGGGCAACTGCTCTGTAACGAGTCAGTTGTGTGTCCTTAACTGTCGCGCTGTAATTGTCGAGTCAAAGGTCGCTGACCTTTGACTTTCCCGTAACCTCCAGGCGGTTACCATAACCTCCGAGGTTTGACTCGATGCTTCGATTCGGACTCCTTCGCTAGTGTCTTGGGTTTTGACACGACAGAAGCGCACTAAGACTTATTGTTTCCAACAGATGACAGGGCGCTTGGGCTGGCGAGGAGTTTCTAGCACTGGTGTTGTCTGATTGTGTTTGTGCTGATTCTGGGCTGGACTTACCGGTACTTGCTGGTGTTGTTTATACGGAAAATATAAAAGGAGGCCATTCACAGTTACCGTATGGCCCCGGATATAGACGCCGACCTATTACAGGCGCCGGCGCTTCTATCTGGAGCATGGCGCTTATGGCCGATCCTCGATTATAAGCGCCCCCCCCTGAAAATCCATTACTTATTATAAGCGCCGTGTGCATTTTTTATTTAAATATCAGGTGATATCGTAACGAATTTCAGTTTTGCAGCGAGTCAAATTTCATTTTCGCTTTGTTTGACTCGCGAAGACCTGACTGGCTGCGCGTCCAGTCAGGATGTGCTGGCATGCCTGCAAAGTGACTCGAATTTGCCCGTGTTCAAGAAGCAGAATCGCTTGCGCGCGATTCTGCTTTGTGACGCTATAATAGTTCGACTCGTTTGAAATGGCTACAACGAAAGGTACAGTTTGGTACCTTTAAAGTAAAAAATCGAATTTGTCATTATATAAGCGCCGGCGCTTATGGCCATTCCTCAATTACAAGCGCCACCCCTGAAAAAAAAAAAAACTTATTATAAGCGCATATGCGCTTTTATCCGGGGCCATACGGTACCGTATAAATATTTCGAGGAGAGGTACGTAATATGTTATTTCAGGCCATATATGTCAGAATATTATAGCTTACTGTCAGAACATATCTATAGCTTATACTGCTGTGTAGGCTGTAGTGGGGTATCCCATAGGGGGTACAACCCAGTTAGGGTTTCATATTTGTACTGCTTTCATTCATAGTTCATTCATTCCTGCTTACTCTTTTCACATGGTATAGAGCGGGTTCCCTGTGGAACTCTGCCTAGGGCCCACCGAAGCGCGCCCCGAGGCGCGCTCAACTTTTTTTTCCGCTATCGAGCGACCCTCCGTGTCGCCTCCCTCCCACACGCGGCCCAGCCGCCCGCTAAGTCGCGGCCCCAGCCGCCCGCTACGATCGCGGCCCCAGCCGCCTGCTCGACGCGGCCACCCCAGCCGCCTGCTCGACGCGGCCCCCAGCCGCCTGCTCGACGCGGCCCTGCCGCCCGCTACGCCGCGGCTGCCGCCTGCTACGACCGCGGCCCCCCAGCCGCCTGTTCGACCGCGGCCCCGCCGCCCGCCTCCTGTCGCGCCCCCCAGCCGCCTACTCGACGCGGCCCCCAGCCGCCTGCTTGACGCGGCCCTGCCGCCCGCTACGCCGCGGCCGCCGCCTGCTACGACCGCGGCCCCGGCCGCCTGCTACGACCGCGGCCCCAGCCGCCTGTTCGACCGCGGCCCCGCCGCCCGCTCCTGTCGCGGCCCCCAGCCGCCTGCTCGACGCAGCCCCAGGCTGCCTGCTCGACGCGGCCCTGCCGCCCGCTACGCCGCGGCCGCCGCCCACTACGATCGCGGCCCCGGCCGCCTGCTACGACCGCGGCCCCAGCCGCCTGTTCGACCGCGGCCACGCCGCCCGCTCCTGTCGCGGCCCCGGCTGCCTGCTCGCACGGCCTCGCCGCCCGCTACTACCGCGGCCCCGGCCGCCTGCTCGACCGCGGCCCCCCCCCCCCCCCCCCCCCCCCTCCCTACTACCGGGAGCCGAGCCGCCCTGCAGCCGAGCCGCCCGGGAGCCGAGCCGCCCTGCACCCGAGCCGCCCTGTCGCCGAGCCGCCCAGGAGCCGAGCCGCCCTGCCCCCGAGCTGCCCTACCGCCGAGCCGCCCGGGAGCCGAGCCGCCCTGCGCCCGAGCCGCCCAGCACCCGAGCCGCCAGGTCGCTGAGCCGCCTTTCTGCATACCTACTCGACCTGCCCTGCCTGGTGAGCACAGTCCCACTGCCACTGCGAGCTCTTTCCCTACTGCTTGCACTGCGTCGCTGTCGTCGCCATGGCTACCCCTAGTGTCCTAGCTTTTGACGCTGAGGGTCGCGCCATTGATTTTGAGGTCTGGTTGGACGACCTGCAGCTGTTCTTACAGTGCGACAGGGCTGACGACCTTTCTCTCTTTGACCTCACCTCTGGCGCCTCTCCTGCTCCTGCTGCTGATGCTGATCCCGCTGTCCGCTCTAAGTGGGCCACCCGCGATGCTGCTGCACGTCTTGCTGTGCGTCGCCACCTCCCTACCTCTGAGCGTGCGCACTTTAGTCAGTACAAGAGTGCTCAGACCTTGTACGACGCTGTAGTTGCGCGCTACTCCTCCCCTGCCACTGCTGCACTGAGCCGTCTCATGCTTCCCTACCTCTTTCCTGACCTCTCTGCCTTTCCCACTGTCGCTGACCTCATTACGCACCTCCGCACTAGTGACACTCGCTACCCGCGCCGCCCTTCCTGCTGAGTTCTGCGCTAAGAACCCCCCCCCCATGTACATCGCTCTCTACTACGTAGTCGCACGCCTCCCTGACTCCCTTCGCGTCGTCAGGGACCACTTTCTCGCAGTCTGTCCCACCACTCTCACCGTCGACCTCCTCGAGAAGGCCCTCCTTGCAGCGGAGAAGAGCATAGTCGCTGTAGGTGCTTCTCGTGGTGACCCTCGCACCCCCATCTTTGAGGGGTGCTCTCCTTCCCCCTTGCTGCCCTCTGTTGCCTCTGCTGCTGCTGCCGACCTGCTTGGTCTTGAGTCGGTCGGCGCGGCGTCTGCCCCTAGTGGGAGACGTCGCTCCAGCAAGGGCAAGGGGGGCAAGGGCGCGGGTGGAGCTGGAGGGGGCGGTGGCGGTGGCGGCGGTGGCGGCGGAGGGAGTGGGGGTGGCGGCGGGGCTAGTGGCGGGGGTGGTGGTGGTGGTGGCGGCAGCAGCGGCGGAGACGGTGGTGGTGGTGCCAGCGGTGGTGGTGGAGGCAGTGGCGGAGGTGGAGGCGGCGGAGGTGGAGGCAGTGGAGGCGGCAGCGGAGGAGGCAGTAGTGGTGGAGGAGGTGGAGCTGGTCGGGGTGGTACCCAGCAGCGTAGCGGCGGTGGTGGTGGCCAGCGCTCGCACCGGCAGCAGCAGCAGCGCTCGCGGGACATCCCTTCGCCTCAGCAGCTTCGTGAGTGGTACGCTGGGCGTCAGAGGGGTGGGGGTACTGGTCCCTGCACCTACGTTCTTCGTTCCGGCGACCGCGCGGGTGAGCAGTGTGGGGGTGCCCACGCCACCCAGCGCTGCTTTGGCCGCCTGACGGACGCTTGGCGTCAGCAGTTCCCTGGGGCTAGTGAGATCCCTCGCTGGGATGAGCTTCTCAGGGCTGGTGTAGCGATCTTTGATCTTGATTTTGATGCTATCCTTACTGCTATGTATGTTGTGGATTATAGTGAGGAGAATGAGGGTTACCGGTGTTTTCAGCCCGACCCGGGCATTGGTACTGCTGCGCTAGGTGCTTGTGAGGCTGCTGCTCTAGGTGCCAGTGCGTCTGCGCTCTCAGGTACTGGTGAGACTGCGCTCTCAGGTACTGAGTCGTCCTCGTCCTCCCTCACTTTCACACTTGACTCCGGAGCTTCTCGCTCCTTCTTTCGAGACCGCACTACCCTTTCGCCGCTCGCCAGGCCGGTTGCGGTCTCCCTTGCTGACCCCTCTGGGGGTCCTGTCCTGTCTCACTTCTCCACTGTCCTCCCGTGTCCGGCTGCCCCTTCGGGCACCCTGTCGGGTCTGTACCTTCCCTCGTTCTCTACGAACTTGGTGAGTGGAGCGGACCTGCAGGATGGGGGTGTTCACCAGTTCACTCCTGCGCGTCAGAGGGTGACCCACTGCACGGAGGCTCGCACAGGCCGACACCTGGCCACGTTCTCACGTCGGCCGGGGTCGAGTCTCTACACCCTGACCGTTGAGTCTCCTCCTGTCCCTGCGTCTGGTCAGGTGGCTGCGTCGGGTCAGGTACTTGCTGCTGCGTCCCGGTCAGGTCCTGAGTCTGCCCCCTGTTCTTGTCGCCTCCTGTCTCACGAGACTCTCCTGTGGCACCACCGTCTTGGCCACCCCTCCTTGCCCCGTCTTCGGAGCATGGCTTCCCGTGTCCTTGTCTCTGGTCTTCCCCAGTCTCTCCCTCCTCTCCCCTCCGGGCCAGGACCTTCCTGTGTCCCCTGTGTCGAGGGTCGCCTCCGGGCTACTCCTCACTCCTCCCACTTCCCCCCGACAGAGGCTCCCCTGCAGACGCTTCACATGGATGTGTGGGGCCCAGCCCCCGTCCGTGGGCAGGGTTACGAGCGCTACTTCCTGTTGGTGGTTGACGACTACTCGCGTTACACCACAGTCCTCCCCTTGCGCAGCAAGGGTGCGGTCACTGAGGTGCTGATCGAATGGATCCGCGAGGCTCGTCTCCAGCTCAGGAAGAGCTTCGGCTCGGACTTTCCTGTTCTGCGTCTGCACTCTGACAGAGGCGGAGAGTTCTCTTCTCGCCTTCTGCGAGACTACTGTCGTGCACGGGGGATCCACCAGACCTTCACGCTTCCGGACTCACCACAGCAAAATGGGATTGCTGAGCGCCGCATTGGCATGGTCATGGATGTCGCTCGTACGTCCATGATGCATGCGGCTGCCCCCCATTTTCTGTGGCCGTTTGCGGTGAGGTACGCGGCGCATCAGCTCAACCTTCACCCCCGGGTCTCTCGGCCAGCGATGTCCCCAGCCTTGCTGTGGACGGGGAAGGTTGGCGATGCGTCTGTGTTCCGTGTCTGGGGATCTCGGGCGTTTGTCCGCGACTTGTCTGCGGACAAGCTGTCCCCTCGTGCTGCTCCCTGTGTCTTCCTTGGCTTCCCCACTGACGCCCCAGGGTGGCAATTTTACCACCCCTCCTCTCGTCGTGTTCTGTCCTCCCAGGACGTCACGTTCGACGAGTCAGTCCCCTTCTACCGTCTCTTCCCCTACCGCACTCCTTCCCTCCCCCCTCCCCCGGACTTCCTTGTGCCGGTTCCCCCCCCGGTAGACCCCCTCCCCCCTCAGGTTCCTGCCCCCTCAGGTGTGTCCCAGGTAGACGCCGTTGACCCGGTCGAGGTTACTGGTGACTCTGGTGCTGCTGCGGGTGCTGAGCCTGGGGGTGCTGACTCTGGGGGTGCTGTGCGCGGGGGTGCTGAGCCTGGGGGTGCTACTGCTGGGGGTGCTGGGCCTGAGGGTGCTACTGCGGAGGGTGCGGAGCCTGGGGGTGCTGAGCCGGGGGGTGCTGTGCCTGGAGGTGCTGGGTCTGGGGGTGCTGGGTCGAGAGCTGCTGAGCCTGGGGGTGCTGAGCTGGGAGCTGCTGAGCCTGGGGGTGCTGCGTCTGGAGCTACTGAGCCTGGGGTTTCTCCTGCTGCTGCGTCTCGCCGGGAGCCCCTCTCTCCACAGGAGCTGCGCGAGTGGTTCGCTCGCCGCTGGAGGCGTGCTGCTGAGTCTGGAGGTGCTGCTGGAGCTGGAGCTGGAGCTTCTTCGACCGTCGAGGGTGCGGGTGCAGCCGGTCCCGGAGCTGCTGGCCCTGCAGGTCCTCCTGGAGCTGGAGCTGCTGAGGGCGTTCGTGCTGAGCCTGCTGCTGTTGGTCCTGCCGCTGGAGGTGTGGGTGGCGCTGGTGCTGTCGCTGAGGGTGCTGGTGCTGTCCCTGCTGAGTCTGGAGCTGCCGCGCGGCCTCGGCCGTACTTCGTTCCGCTCCTTCAGCAGGTTCTTGGTCTTTCTCCTCCAGTAGAGGGTCCACCGCCTGTCCAGTCGCAGCCCCTACTGGAGCCTTCCTCTCCGCTGCCTGCTCCCTCTCCTTACACTGGTCCTACTGGAGGTCTTGCTGAGCGTCGTGAGCCTGCGTCTCGTCCCGCGTCGCCTGTTCGTGCTGCTCGCGCTAGTGGTCGCAGTTCGCGTCAGCGTCCTCCTCCTGTCCCTGGCACGCACCGGATGTCTTTGCGTCCGTCCACTGCTCCTCTGCGTGCCCCTTTGCCTTCTCCTCCTGAGTCCTCTCTTCCTGCGCTTGCGGACCCTGAGTCGGACTCTCTTCGTGCTGCCAGTCCCACTGTCACGCGTCTGCTTGCTACTGTCGTCACTGACCCCTCTTTTGAGTCCACTGCTGCGTCTGCTCTAGTCGCTGAGCTCGTCGACTTTGCTGCTCGCTGTCGTCTCGACTACGCTGCTAGTCTTGTTGCTGAGTCTGCGTCTGTCTGTCCTCCGTCCGTCGGGGGTGAGTGTGCTCTTGGCACAGACGTCCTAGAGGACAGGCAGGAGGAGTTACAGTGTCTAGCGGCTGCTTCACCTCATCTCGCGTCTGTACTGCTTGCCCCTGAGGGAGACCCGGATGCACTAGACATCCCGACTCCGCGTTCTTACGCGGAGGCCGTAGAGGGTCCCTACTCCTCTCAGTGGCAGGCAGCTATGGATGCAGAGATGGCTTCCTAGAAGTCCACAGGCACCTACGTTGACGCGGTTCCCCCTCCTGGGGCGAACATCGTCAGTGGCATGTGGATCTTCAGGGTGAAGCGGCCGCCGGGCTCTCCACCTGTCTTCAAGGCACGGTACGTTGCTCGTGGCTTCAGTCAGCGGCAGGGAGTTGACTACTTTCAGACCTTCTCTCCCACCCCGAAGATGACTACTCTTCGGGTGCTGCTGCACATAGCCGCTCAGCGCGACTACGAGCTTCACTCTCTCGACTTCAGCACTGCGTTCTTGCAGGGTAGCCTGCACGAGGAGATCTGGCTTCGCCGTCCACCTGGCTTCACTGGGACTTTCCCTCCTGGCACCCAGTGGAGCCTCCGACGGCCAGTCTACGGTCTCCGCCAGGCACCGCGTGAGTGGCACGACACACTGAGGACTACGCTTGCGGCTCTTGGGTTTGCTCCTTCTACTGCTGACCCGTCGCTGTTTCTTCGCACCGACACTTCCCTGCCGCCGTTCTACATCCTCGTGTACGTCGACGACCTGGTCTTTGCCACAGCGGACACTGCTGGACTCGCCTACGTGAAGTCCGAGCTGTTGAAGAGACACACGTGCACAGACCTGGGTGAACTGCGCAGCTACCTTGGCTTGCAGATCACTCGGGACAGAGCACGCCGCACCATTACCTTGACTCAGTCACACATGGTGCAGCAGGTCCTTCAGCGCTTCGGCTTCACGTACTCCTCGCCTCAGGCCACTCCTCTGCCTACTCGCACTCACTCTCAGCTCTGCCTTCGGATGAGTCCGTAGAGTCGAGTGGTCCGTATGCGGAGCTTGTTGGCTGCCTCATGTACCTGATGACCTGCACACGACCTGACCTTGCATACCCTCTGAGCATTCTTGCACGCTATGTTGCTCCTGGGAGACACAGACCGGAGCACATGGCTGCAGCGAAGAGGGTATTGCGCTACCTGTGCAGTACGTCAGGCATGGGGCTAGTGCTTGGAGGGCGGGGTCCAGTGGTCCTTACCGGCCACGCGGACGCGTCTTGGGCTGACGACCAGGCTACGCAGCGGTCGTCACAGGGTTACACCTTCAGCCTTGGTTCCGGCTCTGTCTCGTGGCGGTCTACTCGCTCGTCTTCGGTTCTCGGCTCCAGTTGTGAGGCTGAGATCTACGCCGGGGCCATGGCTGCACAGGAGCTTCGCTGGCTCACCTACCTTCTGACTGACCTTGGAGAGCCGCCTCGTTCTCCTCCAGTGCTGTACGTAGACAACAAGGCCATGCTGGCCTTGTGTCGAGAGCAGCGCTTGGAGCACAGAACGAAGCACATTGCTCTCCGCTACTTCCTTGCTCGTGAGCTGCAGCAGCGTGGTCAGTTGCGACTTGCGTACGTGGCCTCTGAGGCCAACACTGCTGATGTGTTCACCAAGGCACTTGCGCCTTGTGACCATCAGCGCTTCTGCACCCAGCTGGGTCTTGTGCCTGTCTTGCCTCACTTGCTCTCCTCTTGACTTCACTTGTACTGTGACATATATATATACCTGCTCTTGCTTGTCTAGCTTTATATATATGTCTGTACTCTTGCTTGTGAACTGGCCTTTGGCCTTGCTCTTGTGCTCGGACTGTGTGGTGACTTTGTGATCCACCCTGAGCTTTGCTTTGTCTTGCTTGACTGGTCTTGTGACCCCTTGTTCTCCCCCACTTTGCCTATGGGGGTGTGTCAGAACATATCTATAGCTTATACTGCTGTGTAGGCTGTAGTGGGGTATCCCATAGGGGGTACAACCCAGTTAGGGTTTCATATTTGTACTGCTTTCATTCATAGTTCATTCATTCCTGCTTACTCTTTTCACACTTACTTATTTGTGTAGGCTATAGTGGGGTATCCCATAGGGGGTACAACCCAACTAGGGTTTCCTATTTGTACTCACTTCATTCGTAGTCATTTCATTCACGTTCCTTTCTTCACATGGAATCAGAGCAGGTCCCATCCTAGGGACTGTTCTTTAGGGCCCACCGAAGCGCGCCCGAGGTGCGCGCCTTTTTTTTTTGCGACCCTCCGAGTCGCCCTTTTACTTCGCGGCCCGACCGCCGCCCTACTCGCGGCCCAGCCGCCGCCCTACCTTAGCGGCCCACCCGCCGCCCTTGCTAGCGGCCCCGCCGTCCCGTCGCGGCCCCGCCACCCAGTCGCGGCCCCGCTACCCCTACGCGCGGCCCCGCCACTCCGTAGCGGCCCCGCCACCCCTTCAAGCGGCCCCGCCCCTTCGTCGCGGCCCCGCCACTCTGTCGCGGCCCCGCCACTCCGTCGCGGCCCCGCCACCCAGTCGCGGCCCCGCTACCTCTTCGCGCGGCCCCGCCACTTCGTCGCGGCCCCGCCACTCCTTCGAGCGGCCCCGCCACTCTGTCGCGGCCCACCCGCTGCCCTACCTGCGGCCTCCCCGCCGCCCTACCTGCGGCCGTCCGCCGCCCTACCTGCGGCCGTCCCGCCGCCCTACCTGCGGCCTACCCGCCGCCCTACCTGCGGCCGTCCGCCGCCCTACCTGCGGCCGTCCCGCCGCCCTACCTGCGGCCTACCCGCCGCCCTACCTGCGGCCGTCCGCCGCCCTACCTGCGGCCGTCCCGCCGCCCTACCTGCGGCCTACCCGCCGCCCTACCTGCGGCCGTCCGCCGCCCTACCTGCCGCCGTCCCGCCGCCCTACATGCGGCCTACCCGCCGCCCTACCTGCGGCCCGCCCGGCCGCCCTACCTACGCGGCCCAGTAGCAGCCGAGCCGCCCGGAGCAGCCATGCCGCCCAGGAGCCACCGAGCCGCCCAGCAGCAGCCGAGCCGCCCAGCAGCAGCCGAGCCGCCCGGAGCCGCCGAGCCGCCCAGCAGCAGCCGAGCCGCTCGGAGCCGCCGAGCCGCCCAGCAGCAGCCGAGCCGCCCAGGAGCCGCCGAGCCGCCCAGCTGCAGCCGAGCCGCCCAGCAGCAGCCGAGCCGCCCGGGAGCCGAGCCGCCCAGCAGCCTAGCGGCCGTGTCGCCAGGCGACCTTCCTCCCGAGCCGCCCGACCTGCCCTGCCCGGTGAGCACTGCACTGCTGTCACTACGTACCCTTCCCCTACTGCTTGCACTGCGCCACTGTCGTCATCATGGCTACACCCAGTGTCCTCGCTTTTGACGCTGAGGGTCGAGCCATTGACTTTGAGGTCTGGCTCGACGACCTGCAGCTGTTTTTACAGTGCGACAGGGCCGACGGTCTGTCTCTCTTTGACCTCACCTCTGGCGCCGTCCCTGCCCCTGCTGCTGATGCTGACGCCACTGTTCGCTCTCAGTGGGCCACGCGCGATGCTGCTGCACGTCTTGCTGTGCGTCGCCACCTGCCTACCGCTGAGCGCGCGCACTTTAGCCAGTACAAGAGTGCTCAGACCTTGTACGACCCTGTAGTTGCGCGCTACTCCTCCCCTGCCACTACTGCACTGAGCCGCCTCATGCTCCCCTTCCTCTTCCGTGACCTTGCCGCCTTTCCCACTGTCGCTGATCTCATCACGCACCTCTGCACTAGTGACACTCGCCACCGCGCTGCGCTTCCTGCTGACTTCTGCGCCAAGAACCCCCCCCCCCATGTACATCACTCTCTACTTCCTAGTCACTCGCCTCCCTGACTCCCTTCGTGTAGTCCGGGACCACTTCCTCGAGGTCTGTCCCACCACCCTCACAGTCGACAGCCTCGAGAAGGCCCTCCTTGCAGCAGAGAAGAGCATAGTTGCTGTAGGAGCCTCTCGAGGTGACCCCCGCGCCCCCATCTTTGAGGGGTGTTCTCCTTCCCCTCTCCTGCCCTCTGTCGCCTCTGCCGCTGCGGCCGACCTCGTTGGTCTTGAGTCGGTCGGTGCGGCGTCTGCCCCTAGCGGGAGACGCCGCTCTGGAAAGGGCAAGGGGGGCAAGGGAGCGGGTGGGGCCAGTGGGGGCGGTGGCGGTGGTGGTGGAGGCGGCGGAGGGAGTGGGGGTGGCGGTGGAGGTGGTAGCGGGGGTGGGGGTGCTAGTGGCGGCAGTGGAGGCGGGAGTGGTGGCGGCGGTGGCGGTGGTAGCGGAGGTGGCGGAGGCGGTGGCGGTGGAGGCGGAGGCGGGGGTGGCGGAGGTGGAGGTGGTCGGAGTGGAGCTTCGCAGCGGAGCGGCACTGGTGGCGGTCAGCGCCAGCAGCAGCAGCAGCAGCAGCGTTCTCGCGCCGTCCCCACCCCTCAGCAGCTCCGTGAGTGGTACACGCAGCGTCAGCGCGGTGGGGGTTTTGGTCCCTGCACCTACGTTCTCCGCACTGGCGACCGCACTGGAGAGCAGTGTGGGGGTGCCCACCCCCCCCAGCGCTGCTTTGGCCGCCTGACGGACGCTTGGCGTCAGCAGTTCCCGGAGGCCGCGGAGATCCCCCGCTGGGGAGAGCTGTCTAGTGCTGGTGTAGCTATCTTTGATCTTGATTTTGATGCTATCCTTGCTGCCGTGTATGCTATGACCATTAGTGATGAGGGTGACTGTTACCGGTGTTTCCCGCCCGACCCGGGCATTGGTACTGCTGCTCCAGGTGCCGGTGAGGCTTCTGCTCTAGGTGCCAGTGCGTCTGTGCTCTCAGGTGCTCGTGAGACTGCTCTCTCAGGTACTAGTGCGTCTGCGCTCTCAGGTACTGCATCGGCTTCGGCCTCCCACACCTTCACTCTTGACTCTGGAGCGTCTCGCTCTTTCTTTCGGGACCGCACCACACTTACGCCGCTTAGTCGGCCGGTTGCGGTTTCCCTGGCTGACCCCTCTGGGGGTCCTGTCCTGTCTCGCTTCTCCACAGTCCTCCCGTGTCCGGCGGCTCCCTCTGGCACCCTGTCTGGTCTCTACCTCCCCTCGTTCTCTACGAACTTGGTGAGTGGTGCTGACCTACAGGATGCGGGAGTCCACCAGTTCACCCCTGCTCGTCAGCGAGTGACGCACTGCACAGAGGCTAGCACGGGTCGTCACCTGGCTACGTTTACACGTCAGCCAGGGTCGAGCCTGTACACACTGACCACTGCTTCTCCTCCAGGTGCTGAGTCTGGTAGAGTCCCTTCGTCTGGTCAGGTGTTTGCTGCAGCGTCCAGGTCTGGTCCTGAGTCTGCCCCCTGTTCGTGTCGCCGTCTGTCTCACGAGACCCTCCTCTGGCACCACCGCCTTGGCCACCCCTCTCTGCTTCGGCTCAGAGGCATGGCCTCCCGTCTTCTTGTGTCTGGTCTCCCCCGGTCTCTACCTCCCCTTCCTCAGGGCCCTGGCTCTGCCTGTGTCCCCTGTGTCGAGGGGCGCCAGCGTGCTGCCCCTCACTCCTCCCAGTTTCCTCCGACAGAGGCTCCGTTGCAGACGCTTCACATGGACGTGTGGGGCCCTGCCCGCGTCCGTGGACTCGGTCACGAGCGCTACTTCCTGTTGGTGGTTGACGACTACTCGCGTTACACCACAGTCTTCCCCTTCCGCAGCAAGGGTGATGTCACTGAGGTGCTGATCGACTGGATCTGCGCAGCTTGTCTCCAGCTCAGGCAGAGCTTTGGCTCGGACTTTCCTGTGTTGCGTCTGCACTCGGACAGAGGCGGAGAGTTCTCCTCTGGCCTTCTGCGTGCCTACTATCGTGCGCGAGGCATCCGCCAGACCTTCACGCTTCCGGACTCCCCGTAGCAAAATGGGATTGCTGAGCGCCGCATTGGCATGGTCATGGACGTCGCTCGTACGTCCATGATGCATGCGGCTGCCCCCCATTTTCTGTGGCCGTTTGCGGTCAGGTACGCAGCGCATCAGATCAACCTCCACCCCAGGGTCTCCAAGCCGGAGACCTCCCCAGCCCTGCTGTGGACGGGGAAGGTTGGCGATGCGTCGGCGTTCCGGGTCTGGGGATCTCGGGCGTTTGTCCGCAACTTGTCTGCGGACAACCTGTCCCCTCGCGCTGCTCCCTGCGTCTCCCTGGGGTTCCCCCCCGACGCCCCTGGGTGGCAGTTCTACCACCCCACCTCTCGACGTGTTCTGTCCTCCCAGGACGTCACGTTCGACGAGTCGGTACCCTACAACCGCCTCTTCCCCTACCGCACTCCGTCCCTCCCCCCGCCCCCGCTCTTCTTGGTACCAGGTCCCCCCCCGGTAGACCCCCTCCCCCCTCAGGGTCCTGCCCCTTCAGGTGTGTCCCAGGTAGACGCGGTCGAGCCTGTCGAGGTCACTGGTGACTCTGGTGCTGCTGCGCGAGCTCACCCTGGGAGTGCTGAGCCTGGAGGTGCTACACTTGGGGGTGCTGAGCCTAGGGGTGCGGAGTCTGGAGGTGCTGAGCCTGGGGGTACTGAGTCTGGGGGTGCTGAGCCTGGGGGTGCTGGGCCTGGGGGTGCTGAGCCTGGGGGTGCTGAGCTTGGGGGTGCTGGGCCTGAGGGTGCTGAGCCTGGGGGTGCTGAGACTGGGGGTGCTACGCCTGGAGGTGCTTCGTCTCGTCGAGAGCCACTCCCTCCACAGGAGCTGCGTGAGTGGTTTGCCCGGCGCTGGAGGCGTGCTG